CTACAGTAAATCAATTCTCATTTTCAACCACACATTCTTCAATAAAATAATATTTTCCATCACATCAATAATTTTTTCTTCTTTTTCAACCACACATTTCCCATCATATCACTATTTAAAATCAATTCTTCCTCCAAAAATCCATCCCAAACAAGTGTTGAAGACCAAAGAGCTCATAGTTTGGTTTCACAAAAGGTCCTGATTTATAAGCCTCGTAATATTTTAATACGATCTTTATTTCTTGATGGTTAGGTTTTCCAATTTTTTATTTGATAATTGAATTGGTCTTTACTAACGTATTAAAAATTGTTACTTTTAATGGATTTTGCTCAACTTTTCAACAGTTCTGTGCACATTTTGTTTCAAATAATTTTACCTACATCCTACCTCTTAATTCAAGATTCAAGAATACGAAAGTCTGCCTTTGTATAGAAAGAACTTGGTAACCCAGAGAATCTGCCTTTCTTATTCTAAGAACCAATTCAAAATAAACGAGAAAGTTTAAAAGATTGATTCCATCGAACCATTAAGGTCAAAACATATTATAAACAAAGCATGACTTCAAGTAACGTTTAGCCATCTTTTCCCACCTTGGGATACAACAGTGCCAATAAGTAATAGCGAAATGATAACACGAACAGAGATAAATTTAACCAGTATTCTGCATACCAGCAGCTATACCCTTCATGGTCAAGATGAGAGTATCCTCCAAACCAGGGGCATATTCACTTGTAGGGTTCAGCATCACAAGTTCAGCTGCTCGTTTTGACTCCATGTACTCCTTGGAAATGTGAGGTCTCAACTTCACATGGTAGTTTGGATCACGAATTCGCTTTAGAGTATAAGCCTGGCTCACGTTCAAGGTTGTGATGTAGGAATCACGTAAACGAAGTCTTTGCTTCAAATAAGGGTCTCCTTCGAGAAGATCTTTATGACCAGCAATCTACAAAATGTCGAAATGAATTTAACAAACTAATCTATGTACAATCATATAAATGCCTTTATATGGACACAATCAATTACCTGGAGTAGAAGACTCTTTGTTCCCTCATAGTTGGCCCTCAAACGCTTGCCAAATGACCACAAATCCTCTGAAACTAGGAGTTTGTCGTACAAAGCAGCAATACCAGGGTCTCCTTTAGCAAACACCATCTCGATTAAATCAATGGTGACTCTAAAGAAAGGCCACTGGTTATACATGTCCTGCAACATGCGGAGGTTCTTGATGTCCTTATCCATGGCATATTTGAATGCTGCTCCAAAGCCAAGCCACACGGGTAGATGAAATCTAGTTTGTGTCCAAGCAAAGATCCATGGAATAGCTCTGAGTGATTCAATGCCTCCACTTGGTTTCCGTTTTGAAGGACGGCTACCAATGTTCATCCGGCCATACTCCAATTCTGGTGTAGCCTAAAATAATGAATGAAAAAATGCTGGTCATTTAAACCTATATGCATAACCATATGTATTATCACTTGAGCAGAACAAATATGATACACCACTGCTGTAGTTACTTACAAGGCGGAAATACTCGACGAAACGGGGTTCTTTGAAGACAATTGAACGGTACTCTTCTGTGGAAACAACAGCAATTTCGTCCAAAAGTGCACGCCACTCTGGTTTCGGGGAGATAGGAGGATGCATTCCATGTTCCAGTGTAGCAGCAGTGAAACGTTGGAGCGTTCTGAAACACAAGTGCTCCTCTCCAAATGATTGCTCAATGACTTCTCCCTGGACCGTAACACGGAGAGAACCATGTATAGTATCTGGTGGTTGAGACAATATAGCAAGGTGGGTGGGGCCGCCTCCTCTTCCAACTGTTCCACCTCGACCATGGAACATAGTCAGCTTCATGCCATATTTCTTTGCAACTTTGACAAGCTCCTCTTGCGCCTTATACATTTGCCAGGCTGCTGAAAGCCGACCAGCATCTTTTCCAGAGTCCGAGTACCCTATCATGACTTCTTGCTTACCGTTAATTCGACTTTTGTACCAATCAATTGAAAAAAGGCGTGAAACAGCAGCAGGAGCAGCCTCTAAATCAGCTAGTTTCTCAAAAAGTGGAACAACTCGTAAAGGGTTCTTCACATGGCATTCACGCTGCAGAAGTTCGACTGCTAGCACATCAGATGGTGCCGTGGCCATAGAGATGATGTATGCTCCAAAACAATCTTCTGGGAGTTCTGCTAACACGTGAAATGTATCCAAAACATCAGTTATTTCTTCAGTTTTTGGAAGATCAGGTCCAAATAGGGGACGCTTTCCACTCAGTTCAGACAGGAGCCATTCCTGCTTACGTTCTTCAGACCACTCTCGATATGAACCAATTTCCAAGTGTTGGGTAATTGCGTTGAGAACATCAGTGTGTCTGTCTGATTCTTGTCTTATATCAAGTTTCACAAGTGAGAGCCCAAAGGTGGAAACTTGCCTTAGAAAATCCAGAAGGCTCCCATCAGCTATCGGCCGGTCCCCACAAGCACAAAGAGATCTATAGCAGAGTTCAAGTGGTTCCAAGAACTGCACAAAATATTAAACCGATTTAACACCCTCTATTGGAAAACACGGCTTTAAAAAAATTATTTTGTGGAACTTATTTACTTTTTAAGAGAACTGCTTAAGAATGATAATTTTAATCAAATTAACAAAGATAAAAATCACACAAATAGGTACATTAAAATACTAGCATGTCCATACACACATTCAGCAGAAGTAGAGAAAGGACAAAAAGGTATCATATACATTTTCTTTTGTACTTCAGAGAATGATTTTAACTTTATTTCTCAAAGAAAACTTGTACATAAGTTTTATTACAGAATTCCATGCAGAGTGCACATGAACATGCCCGTTATTACGAAAAATGGAAAAAATGAGAGGTTACCTGCTCCACATTGGTGTAAGTTGCCTCCTCTGGAATGTCAGATAGTCCATGAGCTAATAAATAACGAGAACGCTCACGTGTCTCATAGAGTTTATCCCGCACATCACCAAGGATAACACGATAAGGCTCAGTGACTGGAATTTGTTTCCAAAATTCTGCATGAACAGAGGTCAATGTTCTTACTTTTGACAGATAGAGAGTTCTAGATTCGCCTCCATAGAGTAAGAGGAAAACAGAAGTAAATGCTAAACAACATTTTTAAAAGTTTTTGAGTTTTAAATAACATTCTACATGTTTCGGTATATATATGTTGCCATTAAAGTTGGCATCCGGTTCTGAAATTTAGATCTGTAGGAAGGACATTCGAAATGAAAGGAGATTTAGAAAAAGAATATATATAATTAGTACACAACTTGGACGTTACCTATGTAGTGCTTTGAATCTCTCTTTGAGGATCTACGGAGTTCATTTGCTCGAGCACGGAGCTCATCACTGCACCTCCACATAGATAACTGGAAAAAAATAATGGAGTTAAGACAGAAATAGATTGCAAGGCTAAGATAAACTAAAATGAAGATAAAAGTAACTTAGATAAGTAAATGGAGTAGTAAACAAATACCTCAAACATGAGATCCTCTATCTGGGAATAATACAAGTTAGCAGCCATCATTCTAGCCAATAAGCAAACATCCCTGGTGACCTCAGGAGTTACCCTTGGATTTCCTGCATTTCGTTTACTCCAAACTAATCATTAAACCAAGGAGGGAACACGTCCTTCAGGAATAATGGAAATGTTAATCCATTCTAATGCTAGAGTACAGGGACGGATCCAGGACCGATCACAGACCGGGCTAATACGTAAAAAAAAAAAAATTTACACATGAATTTTTTAAAAAATTTTTTTTTTTTTTTTTTTAACTAAAAAAATTTTTTTTTTGGGGGGGAAGGGGGGGCTACAGCACCCCCCTAAATCCGTCCCTGCTAGAGTATAGTAAAAAATATCAAACCACCAAAATTGATAAAGAAACAGTTTATGGCAATGATGAAGATATACTTAAACATATACTGGTATTCCAATTAGATATGCCTGCATCTGCATAATAAAATAATATTAAAATAAGTCTCGAATGTAATTATACCATCACGGTCACCACCCATCCAAGAAGAGAATTGAATTAGAGGGGCATTGTAAGGAACTCGTTCATTGATCCCAATATTCTTAAGTGCTGTATCAACACGCCGCAAAAACTTCGGAACGCCCTTCCAGATTGTTTCATGAAAGTAGCTCATTCCCGCTCTCATTTCATCTTGCGGAGTAGGAGGAGTCCTACGGATCTCATCAGTGCGGAAAGCAGCTTGAATCTGCAACCAAATAAAAGAACAAAAAGTGTACAATCTAAGACTCTGTTTTCTTAGAATATTTCAAAAATAAAATTCATATTTATGCTTAACTATAAATGACGATTTTAAATTTTTCGAAAAAGAAATGCTATGCAAGGTAGGTATGAATATCTGAAAAGGAAAATATGCATTGAAATTTTGAGGTTTATAGAAGGCAGGTCTGAATAGAATGGAAAATAAGAACTGAAAATTTGAAGTTTCAATATAGAAATACATTGATGGAAAAAATTATGTTTGTGCTCCACTTACCATCTTCCAGTCTGCCTAACTTTGATGGCTACACATAAGAAGTTAAATTTTAGATGGTCACACTAGGAAAATGAGAGGAGAGAGAAACGATAAATATGACATGTGTAATTAAGAAAGTGATTTTGTCAAATACTAATTTTACAAAAAAGACAAGACACGAGAAATAAATACATGTAGAACCATATATTGTTTTGTAGAAACCCGCAACATCTGTAAATTTTTTTCTAAAATTGAAATATACAATTTCTACACAAAGACTTTTCAAATCAACAGGTTTGATAGAAATAACCTGAATAAGTACTTCCAGATGAAAGATGATAATGCTTATAATTGACTTGCATACGTAGAAAATTCCAAAAAATGTAATAAATGAAATTTTCCATGTTAAGATGAAAAAGACAACCAAGCAGTTGTTCCTCATCCAACAAGATACCAGAAGGCATATTACTTTTCATGATGTTTTAGTTATCTTTATTTTTTTCAGTCTTTCCGTCCTTTCAAGGAGTTAATATTACAGTGATGCAGATTTTTTATATATAACATATGCTAAAAGCTTCAAAGTGTTCATGCCGTAGATCACCATGCAAATACCACATCCTAAACTAGAGAGTGCATTTGAAATTATATAAATTTCACGAGGATGGGGATTAAATAATGACAATCTGATATTAAATATTTTTTTTTGGTCCTTATTTTTTCTGATGACATCATTTTTCTTATTCTTGTAGTTATTTATGGTCCCACAATGAATTTCCTTATTTTGTTTGATGCTAGAGAGATCCTTTCAAACTATATCCTAGGGGTATATTGCCAATTCTCCAACCCTTTGGTGGTTTCTGTACAGCAAAAGCTCCAACTCCATATCCATATAAATTAAGTGTAAAACAAAGGAAACTCTTTGTTTTATTGAAGGCATTTGAAGTGTTCAAGAATACATGTAGGCATATTTGTCTAATAATAACAGAGGAAAATGCATTAACACTGATATTTACCTCTCTCTGTAAGGACTCGTCAAGCTCCTGTTTATCATCAGGTGTAATATCTTTGGCATACAACTGGGCCAAGCAATCCCGGATCCTGGAAAATGTGTCGGGGCGTGAGAAAAAAAAGAAGTTAAAAGCGAGCAGATAAAAGCGACTTCATTAGTCAAATACCAAAATAAAAGGGAAAAAAAAGGTAATCCAAGAGGCATAATAATTAGAGAACAAACGTTACAAACCTCCCATGCTTTTGTAGTAATGATCTTCGGACAGATTGGGTAGGATGAGCAGTAAAGACAAGATCCACAGTTTGATTTTTCAAAGCATCAAAAATTTCTTGTGGGGACTTCTTTAGATCAACCACAAGTCTCTTGAGAGTTTCTTCAATGTCAGATTCAGTTGTTGCAGAACTCTCATCAGTATAATCCCCTTTTTTCTTTTTATTTCGTCGGCGATGAGCAATTTGAACCTCCTCAGCCAAGTTGGCCAAGTTAAGCATGTGAGAAAAAGCTTTTGCAACAACAATTGAATCCCCAGGATCCAAACTTGTCAATACATTTCCGAGCTCTTCCAACTTTTTGGGGTCGTTCTTGCCTTCATACTCGGCAGAAAGCTCGTAACATTCTTGTACCTACAATAACGGAAAAGAGGCCACTCGCCAAGTTGACTGAGAAACTCTTAATATAGACAACAAATCACCTGCTGAAATCAAAGAATCATCTATGACACAGACTTTAACTTACCAATGCAAAAGCATAAATATTCAACCAAAACCATTCCTAACATAAATATTCAATCTTTGATAGGAAAGACAACTTCTTTGGGTATTTGTTAAAATTCAGCGGAACAAATTTCGGTGCCCCAAAAACAAAAATTCAATGACTCATTAACACTTCAGATTACAGGAATGGTTCTTAAATATGAACATCACAAAATAGCCAGTATATCTATCAATGAACCGCACCAACAGACAAATAAATCAGGCAGTCGACCTCAAATTTGTTGAGAACGAAATAGGGTCATTACCCAATATCAACCTAAAACAGACAATAAATACATCAATACATACTGTTTCCTTGAGACCCTCCCCATGCAAATCCTGAAGAATATCAAGAAACCGATCCAAAAGCAGGGCATCATACTCAACAAGCTTGTCATCTTCAGACACTTTACCGGGGACCAATTGCCTCAATTGGGCATCAATTGATGCCATATTCTCTACATTCCTATTCGCCATTATCTGAAACTCTCTCCTTAGACCTGAATTCTCTATTCAAAAGAAGACTCCAATTGACAAAATACCCTGCAAATCACGGATCATGACCCTTAAAAGTAGGATCGAAGTAAACCTATATGATTAGCCGATCAAAGAAAAGTAAATAAAAAAGCAGCTCATGCAAATGAAAAATAAATTCAAAGCGATGGCTTTTTTTTTCTTTTCTGTTTTTTTTTTTGGTTAAAGATCCATAAATTAAAAGTTGACAATTATTGTTGATCATAGATTCATGGAGTACCTGAATCAACGCCAGTGAGATTCTTGGAGACGTAGCGGACCAGGAAAAAAGAAAAAAAAAAGTGAGTCGTGTGTGCGTGCGCGCGCGCGCGCGCGAGTGATAAGAGAGAGAAGAGAGGAGAGACACGACCCAAGGACTCTGCACAATGGCTGTATATATAGACGAAGCATAAAAATTGACGTAGGATAATTGATTATTTGGAGCACAAATCAATTACTATCATTAGTCCTATGATTTTACTTTTTCGAGTTCTACCAGGAATAGATTTAGGGCATGTTTGGATAAAAGATTGTAGATTTACGTACTAGTAATCTTTAATATAATAAATTTCGTGTAAGACAAGGTTAGGAGTGATCAGGGCCAGATCCAGGATATTAAGTCAGTTAGGACGGTCGCTAATGACCGCAATAATAAGAATGTTTATTAATATTTAATTAAATAATGTTAAAAAAATTTCAGTCAATATATAAATGTACTAAAACGTAAAAAAGTCATACATTTGAAAATATAATCCAAT